GGGAAGCAAGCTCCACATGTCAACCGCTGATCATCCCCAGACCGATAGCCAAACAGAACGTGCCAATAGAGTTGTGGCGGACGAGCTGAATGCTAAAAGCGCGAGCGAAGCTCAGCGCTTTGTGGATGAGCGATTAGCCATCACACATAAAGTCCGTGACGCGATGGAAAGCGCACAGGACAAGCAAAAACAATATGCAGACCATCATGGTCGCAAAAACAATGAACACTTTAGTGTGGGGGACAAAGTGCTATTAAGTACTGCTACCCTACCTAACATGCAATTTCTTTACTACCTGGTGGTACTACTAAGCTATTGCCCCGATTCATTGGGCCCTTTACAGTGGTTGTAAAAGTTGGAGACCTAAATTATAGGCTCACTTTCCCACCGTATATGAAGACGCACCCCGTATTTTACGTGGGTCGTCTGAAACGGTATGTTAATCCAGAAGAGATCACACATCCACATCGGTATAACGAGACCAATGGTGACGTCGACTGTGAGTCGAGCCTTGTTGTCTATCAGGTGACGAGGAAGCTGATAGGCTTCCCGTATACGAACGAGGGCTCGGTAGAGGACTCGGTGAACGAGGAGGACTCCACGCTTGACGCGGTTTATCATCACCAGTCGCTCTAAGATGTCCAAGCGGATCTTCAGGCGGTCATACCCCTGACGGTCCCTCGTCCTCGCATCGCGCAGATCCAAAGTCAGTCGCAAGACTTAACTCTCGAGATGTGCCACCTGCCTCTTTAGCGCAGCAGACTCAGCCTGCGAATGAACAGCAGCAGGGTAGGCAGCCGCGAGTAGGTGGGCGTAATCGCCACTCCTATCGGGTTCCACCTGTGTTGGTGGACACGGAAGGAAATACGCGCTTCCTTGTTGGAAGGCTGTTGGCCCACCGGCTTGTGAAGCGAAAGCTCCAAATCCTTTTCCAGTGGAAGGGTTACCCAACGAGCTTTGACTCATGAGAGCCTGAGGACGCTTTGCGCGTCGACTTGCCTGGGCTGGTGACTGCTTATGTGAAGCAGCACCAGCATTCTTCTTTCTGCTAGGTTCGGAAGGACTAGCAGAAGAAGCGTGGCGAGAATTAATTGGGGGTCGCTTACCACCCAAAATTTCATGCGCACGCTTCATGGCGAAGCTGATTCGCTGCGACCGCTGTTTAGTTGCATCTTCATGCAAGGTAACACGGCGCCGAAGTTCAGCTTCATAGTCGTCGGCTGTTTTGTTAGAACGCAGCACGACTGGAATTGGGAAAGCACGACCAAGTGCTTTGCCCTGCTTTTTCCACAAGGGAAAGCACTATAAAACTTATGAGCGTCAATAGTGGCACGCTGCAAAAGCGCTGCACTAGACCCATCCGAGCTCATCCACTCAGATGGAGGTGGCATTGGTGGCAAGCCACCACTCACGTAGCCGCCCTCGCGACGGCGGGCTAGTGAGGCCGACGGTGTACTTGGCGGAGCTTTAAGCTCACCCTCGCCTGAGTCTGACTCTCCATTATGGATTGTCAAGACATCAGCATGAGGAGTCATATCTGATGAGTCGAGACTACTCCTTTCGACGTAGCGTGCTCAGCGTTTGTTGCTGCACTCGTAAGTGCAGGCGACGAGGCTTTACCTTCGCTTGCAGGAAGCATAGAAGCTCTTTCAAGAACGGGTGCCTCAAATGATGGGTACATATGTCCCATCAATGCGCTTTGCTCATCGCCACTTTGGGGTGATGGCAATGGCGTGCTCTCATTGTAATCTACAATGAGAGATGGATCTTCATCCACATTATAGTGAGATGGAAGATCTACCCCAGTGTCTGAAGCACTTTGCGACGACTGCGATAAATCGCGGCGCGTGCGCTTAGTGTTGGACTGCATGGGCGCCTTTGCAGGCAACCCATCAGCAAACCACCTTTCGGTGGCGTGAGAATTGAGTACACTAAGCGGCTCGTTTATAACGGCTCGCAAATCTCTCTGTCTCCTAGGCGATGTTTTACAAAATGTAAAAATCATTCTAAAACGGGGGATGGTGTGACAGGGCATCTAGTTACACGCAAACATTACTTAATATACTTAATGTTTGGTCTTAAAGTATCCATGATTACTTTTGACCTGCCACTTGGGTGCGATACACAAATGTGATCCACCCTCGTGAATGTGATATCCATTTATGGACTCACATGGGAAGGGATGACGCTAGTTGAAGCTAGGCATCGCGACGTCTCAGAAGGACGTCAATTCGCGATCTTAAATCTAGATTTAAGTTCATGCAACAGGATACGCTTCTAAAGAGTCGCGTATCCGATCTATATATATATATAGCCAATCAGTAGATAAGTTTATATTTAGTTATAATTTATTAAATATAGCTCAGTCTTGAATTTGCTAACATCAAAAGCACCACGCACGAGAATCTGAAGAAGCTTCCTACGTGACGTCGGTGCCTTCTTGTCTTAAAAGTTCGTTGCACTCTCGCTTAAGCGAGAGTAAAACTGGTGTTACAACTGCTTAAGCAGTCGACCAACCTCCTAACCACCCTCGCACGCAAAGGTAAGACGGTCTAACCGCTTCCTCGCTTGTGCTGAAGGTGTGTGCTAGTAGCACGAGGCAACTTCGTAGAAGTGCCCGTCTACATGATAAATTTAAATAGGAAGATCATGGGGTGTTTTCACTTGTAAATTGGCAATGCCACTGACGAGGCCCCGGCGGGGGCCAAAACGCGTCTGCCACGCGTTAATATACAATTTATGTATGTTAACGTTATTCTTACTTTCTAACCCGGACAGCAATTACTGCCAAGGTCTTGCCTCTGACAAAGATGCCTTTTATGCAATGAACCTCGTGCCAACTAACTCGATCATCCCACCGGTTTATTTCGGAAGTGAGTGAACTTTACCTAGCAGCCCAGCTTTGCTCTGACGTTCAATATGGGATCCACGTCTAGCAAAATTCGCAATCATTGCAAAAATCAGGAATACTGAGCTAATGTTTACACATAACCTTCAAAGGTATTGACAGATTCTCGATTTCTGGGCAGGAGGGTGTCATCACGCAGGACATGATCCTTTTCGTCTACCCGAGACGAAGTTTATCTCCAATACTTTGCCTAGTTGTCATCAGAATTATGATAAACCTGGAATGTGATAATGAGAACTGTCTTTATGTTTGTGCGAATGTTGCTCCGAGTAAACAAATATTCACTGTCATACGCATGCAGGCGTTAGTTTAATCGACTCACTTCATGAAAATAAGCGACTTAAATGAGCAACTCGATCTATAAAGGTGAAACAACTTCAGACCCCTTATAATTTTAAATTACTGCTATACGCCTTAATCAATTTACGATGATGAGTATTGTGTGATAGTAGGGTACATGGACTGTCCTGCAGTCACTCTGTTGTGATCAGTTAAATTCGTCTGTTCCAAATACACAGCTTCATATGTGCGATAAAGAACATCAAGCTAACATACAGTAGTACATGCTTGAGTGCAAGGACATGCTTGAGAATGTTTTTACCAACACTAAATGAGTAAACAAAAGTTACACTGATTTAGTGTTGGCAAGACATCATGTGTCGTCAACGGCATTATAAGACAAATTAAGGAATACAGTACGGCATCTTCTGCAGAACAGTACAATGCAACGACATTAATATTGCCATTGCAAGCACCAACAGCCGTACACCTTGACAGTTGTTTCAGCTAATGGTTATCTTTTGAAAATTCAAAAGTATCTCTTTTTTCTAGTAGAAAATAACTCCAAATGTAGCTATACCGCCGACGTGTACCGATATGATTACCTCTTCTGTACGCCTTGTTAGGTATTCCTTTCTGATTCGTTAAAACACCGTCTCCACCAATCACGGGACAGTATAAGGTACTATTCAGTTTTAGTCACAACAAGGTCACATCCAGTCAAGAAATCGCCCTCCAGCCAAACAGTCCATTAACTACATCGACTTCGTTTCGTCGTCTCGCTCTCTTGTTTATCTACGCGTGGATTATCAGTACCTTATTACCAACTTGTGTATCGAAGGTCTTGTAGCTTCCCGTCGTTTTTTTCTCTCGTCGATCGCGACCTTTGGTGTCTGAATTGAGCAACTCTGAATTCCCTGACGTTTCGCCGAATCCACTGGTTGTGGGAGTGGAGAACAGCCCCGTATCGAGCTTTTTGAGTCGGGTAAAGTTGTTTTTTTTTTTGCAACGTCAAGACGTTTTTATTTTCGGCGGTGATATACCTTCGACGAGTAAAGAAAGTGACAGCGCAGTCGACGGATGGGATAAGTTTGGTAGGCCTAGACCGACCAACACGCAACGACAGTGCCTTCTTGCCTTGTAGAGAATCAGCAGTGCTTTTCCTTTTTTTTACAAAGTTGTGGACACCTTTTGCCACCTTTTTACTTCCCTTTAAAAACTATAGAGACGCACTCTTTGAGATATGATGATTGCGCCAACAAACAAACCGACAATGGTCAAATGGGAACATCTCTCCTTTGTGATCATGGACGCCCCTAATGACAGTAATTTGCACATTTACTTAAAGGAGCTCAAGAAACACAACGTTACGAACGTTGTGCGTGCCTGTGAAGTCACTTACAGCAGTGAATCTGTCGAGGCTGCTGGTATTCACGTGCACGAGCTCGAATTCCCGGATGGTGAATCGCCTGATCCAGATATATTGGATCAATGGCTTGATCTGGTGGAAGAATGTTTCAAGGATAATGCCATTGATTGTAAGAACAATAAGTCGATCGCTGTGCACTGCGTCGCCGGACTTGGCCGGTGAGTAGGTTGGCGTTGATGAGATGGACGTGCTGACAAAACGGGTGGGAAGTTGCTAATGCTTGTGTAAATTTTCGTTGCTATTTTATTCATCACAGAGCTCCTGTGCTGGTAGCTATTGCATTGATCGAATATGGACTGGACCCTATCAATGCCGTGGAGCATATTCGTAAGTTTCGGCGTGGAGCTATAAATTTGCGACAGCTCAAGTATCTGGAGAAGTACCAGCCTCGGCGTGGTAACAAGGGAAAATGTTGCATCATGTGAAGGGGTGAAGAGAGCGAAGATGCTGAGCGGATGTCGTGAAGGTGCTGGCTTTTCACATGTTTGTTTGACTGTTGCTGGCTGTCGATCTGCCTGCCTTCCCCCACGACTTTTATTTTGCTGCTTAGCATATTTCGTTCTCCGCCAGCCGGCCACGATTGCGGCACGGTGAGAAGAAATGAAAGTTAATGTCACCTACAGTAAGCTTCTTGACCTTTAAATATCATATTCACAAAGTAATGGTATCGCTGAAAGCGTTGATGGTAAATATCTGCTCAAAATGACTGTATTTCTGTTCATAGTCCTCAAATACTGCATGGAAGCTATTAAACGCCTAAATTGGAGGGGAATTTATTTGACGACTGAGCAGCTATTTAAATTTTCAAGTTTGTCAATGCACTGGTCAACACTCGTAGAGGTCTAGTAGTATTGCTTCCTTATTAATATTGCTTACCTTCTAATACCATAGAGGATATATGTAAATAGGGTAATTTGTGGGTCGACTGTTCCATTACTTTGACCAAGTGCTTTTATTCAAAAGCTAAATAAATGATGCCTTTAATACTTCAATACTACGCTGGCGGCAATTGAAAACGATCAATAGAGACTGAGAAAACAATATCTTCCTTACTCAAAGTAAGCATTGCTTGACCGCCAGGTTGTTTCCTAATGATATTGCCAACTGTGGCTCCTACCATGTGGTTGGCAGTTCGTGGTCGAAAATCTGCGAGCTCGCTGAACCATTTCACAACTGCAAAGTGGCTGTTGTAGATTGCAAAGTCAATGGCCACAGTCGTGCAGCCTTCCGTGCGATTTGCCCACAGCCACTGGACCGTAGCCAAATGGCCTCCAGCTGCAGCGGTATCGATTGCTCCTGTCGTGCAACCCTCTGTGCGATTCTCGTGCAGCCATCGAACGACATCAAGGTGACCACCTGCGGCTGCACTGTTCATTGCGTGCACAGAGCAGCCTTCGCTTCTATTCTTGTGAAGCCACTTAACTACTTTCAAATGCCCCCGCAAAGCTGCTGCATCCATCGCACGTGTCGATATCTTGACATTTGGGCGATAAGCCGTGAGCCACTGAACAATATTCAGGTATCCTTCAGTCGCTGCAATTTGCAAGGACCAGTCCATGCCGTGATCGGTAATCTCTGCGTTTCGTTCACCCAACCGTTTCAAAAGCGAAAGGTACCCACTGCATGCCGCCTTCTGGACAGTCCACGAAGTGGAGAAGTCTAAGAACGACTCGATGAGTTCCGGCACCAACCCTCTGGCAATGGGGTCAACCTGATCTCTTACGACTACCTCAACACTTATCATCCGTTCCATCATCGTCGGGTGTTGATCTGCTCTGCTTCCTGAATTATTTGCTAATTGGAAAATGAGGAAACGCTATGTGGCATTCATGCAAAGCTATTGCCATACGTCAAGTTCAGTGCTGACCTCGTCAAGTCGGCGCTAAGAATGTATCAGCCCAAAAGGTCTATCGTCGGCCCCGAGGTGACCGTTGATCTGAGACACTTCAGCATCCATTGGTACTACTACCTAACTTTAGTCTCCAGTAAAATAGCTTCAACATCTAACCGACAACACGGTTCTTATACTTAATTACTGTAGCTTTAATAGCTCTTCGGATCTACGTCAACCGACTCTTGGATCCCGTTGCTGTGCTTCGTTCGCACAATTCACACTCAGTTCCGGCACGACAGACCCGTACTCAGCCGACGAGGGCGATGCCGTGGCGTTTCCAACAGAGTGGCACTCAGTCGTCGTTCTCTACGAGACGAGTGCACCGGTGAGCGTGCACCCATCGTCCGATCAGCGTTTTGCACCTCCAGATTCTGCTCGTTCAGCCATCGTAGGATGTGCATGTGGCCATTGAGAAGCGCAAAATGCGATGCAATACTTGTGCAGCCTTCTTTGCGGTTAGTCGTGAGCCATTGCACAATCTTAAGGTATCCTCCAGCAGCTGCACTATCCATAGCAGCGGTAGTGCAGCCCTCGGAACGGTTTTCATGCAACCATTGAACCACATCCAGTCGACCGTAAGCGGCGGCACTGTCCATGGCTGCAGTCGTACAACCTTCATCACGGTAGTGGTGCAACCACTTGACAATACTTAGATGACCACGCAGAGCTGCCGAGTCCATCACTTGGGTCGAGCACTCCATGTCGGGTTGGTACGCAGTCAACCACTTGACGACACGAAGATCCCCACGGTCTGCAGCATTACGTAAAGCCCAATCAAGCTCTCGTGGTGATATTGGCAACTCTTTCTTGCCCAAACGTTTAAGCAACGTCATGTATCCGGCACAGGCAGCACTTTCAATCACCCATTTGTGCGACGAGTCCAAGTACTCACTGATCATTTCAGCCACATGGGGACATCCAGCCAGTGCTTCTTGTTCACGTATCACACATTCTACGGCAGTAAATACAATAATTCGTTCGCTCATAATGCAAGAAGCAGTGCAAATTCAAATCTGGTAATGAGGATGCGTTAACGTGTTGGTCACCTGGTTCGGCGAATAGCTCCTGAGCACGAGCATGTCCTTTCCGCAATTCCATAAGCGCTGACGTACCCCCACGACCTTTGAGAGTCACTTTATATGCGACGGTTGGTTTCTGACTATATCCTAGGAGTCAGTAAGGCAACATGACGATTGAAAGGAAAGTAGCAATTCGATCATGTGGACGCAAAGAGCTTCAATATGTTACACACTCATAGACAATGACGTATACTTGTGAACCGTCGCTCTAAAAAAGACTGGCTTTTACCTAAACTGACTCGTAGTCTCTATCTTTTTTTTGAAATCGACGACACTTCCATTGTCATATTAAAACAAGTAGTTGTTGTCCGCTGTTATGTCTCAGATCGTTTTTCGTCCGTTATGCGACGCTTCAAGTGAACAACACTCAAGTTGAAGCTGCGACGGGTGTATGCGTCACTTCGCACTGATGTGTCCCACGCTGTATTTACGTGCGACACACACTTCCTATGAGTATTCAAGACCTAAATGCCATCCGTCCTAAACTTCCTATACAAATTGACCAGCGTTACCGCTGCAACGGGGTAGTAAAGAAGACTTGGGGTCATTTCTACAGAAGAACAGAACCGTTAAGATTGTACGCAATGTTTATAATTTAAAGTTCGACCAAGTGATCAAGATACTGATAACGAAGCATGCCGCAGAGCCGCGAACTCACTAACAAGAAGAACGAGCACAAGGATCGTCAACAACGTGGTCCTATTGGCACGGGAGTAGGCGGCCCGAAGAAAGGTGTGTATCCGTTGAAACGGGAGTAATGGTCATAAGGTCCGTAGCTGACGTTATATGATTGACCATTTTGTTGCAGGCGGTGCTGGGGCGCATAACTGGGGCACCTTGACGGCTCCAGCTAGGGAAGATGAAGCTATTCCTGTGGACCGCAATGATCCGAATTATGTCAGTTCACTAGACCATTAGCTAAGTCACAGGCAGATGGGGCTGTCATGAGATTGATTTTTGACAAAGTGAGGGCACATATTGTCAAAACGATATATAGAATGCGACGCGTAGGGACGGACAGTTTGTGACGAGACTGTAAAGAAAAGACCGAAATCTAACCTAGTGTAATTCACCCAATATTTTGGGCTGTTTATTAATTTTTGCAGTGGATGCATTCCGTTCATGTCGTCCGAAGGTGTTACATTCCCACCACCAAAAACGACTAGTGAGTAACACCATGACAATGCCATCACCTGATACAAATGCAGCATCCGTATCAATTATTCCAAACGCCATGTGGCAATCGCCTTGTTTAATCCAAGAAGGTTCTCTTGTTATTCTTTTTGAAACGCATCATTCCGTCACATATTGTTACGCTCAACGTCACGCCATTTATCAAAATCGTCATGGTGCATTTTATCACAATGATATGATCGGTCAACCCTTTGGTTCCAAGATCATTTCAAGAAAGAAAAAGGCCATGGGGTATTTAATTCTTTTGGCTCCAACACCCGAACTTTGGAGTCGCGCATTGCGTCATCGCACGCAGATTGTTTTTACACTGGACGCTAGTGCCATCATGTTTGCGGCTGCTTTGCACTCGGGTTCACGTGTCGTCGAGTCTGGAACGGGCAGTGGGGCACTCACTACGAGTTTTGCGCGGACAGTAGCACCTCATGGTCACGTGTTTACCTTTGAGTTCAATGCCCATCGTGCCGAAATTGCGCGTCAAGAATTCAAACGGAATGGCTTGGAAAGCGTCATCACGGTGGAATGCAGAGACGCATGTGAGCAAGGGTTTCCTGAGGAGCTTGAGAGATCCATTGATATGGTGTTTTTGGACTTACCTAGCCCCTGGTTAGCTGTCGGTCATGCCGCCAAGATGCTGAAACAAGGAGGATTCTTTGCATCCTATTCACCATGCATTGAGCAAGTGCAAAAGACGTGTGGTGCTTTAAGAAGCGCACATTTTGAGTGTAAGTAGATCTTAACGTCAACGAGTTGGAGACAATTTCTCTTGCTGACTTGATGCTGTTTTGCAGTGATTCGCACGATTGAAACGAGGCTGATACCGTACAATTCACGACGAATTGATCTTCCCGTGCCGGACTTTGGATTTGGAAAAAAGGTGCAGACAAAGAATGGAACTGCGACATTGACGGATGTCGAGAACGAGTTAGAAGAGAAAACGGAGCAGGAACCGAGGAAGAACGGCGGACGCAAGCGCAAGTATGTGCCTGGCGGTGTCGGAGAACACATTGTGGCCAAGAAGGACGATGAGATCCGCGGACACACTGCGTACCTCACGTTTGCTACCAAGTTCTTCGAGTAATGATCGTCGACGTTGGAAGAGTCAATACCGTGATTTCGTACAGTGTGACGAAGTTTGGGATAGCGGTAGATAAGATGTACACATGCATAGCGGGGCTGCATCCTTTGGAACTCGACGCAGGTGGGTTGTGCATTGTAGCGGACGTACTTCACACAACGTTTTGACCATTGTGCCTTGTGCTTCACAGTAATATTGCAAAAACGTGCTTGGTTTTTCCGATCAGTTGGTTATGAAGCATCCGGGTATGTCGACTTCAGCAGAATACGAAACTCGATATAGTGCATCTCGAGCTAAATCAGGTTCCAGTGTTAGATTCTCAAGAATTGCTGACGACTGCTAAGATGGGATCAATGGATCGACTCAGCCCGTACTGCTCTAAACGACACCGAAGTAGGACGCATTAACGTGCCGATGAACGAACGTTGCCGGAACCTACATCTATATAACCATTCAGACTTACAAGACATTCCATTTCGCCATCATTGAACAAAACAACTCGAAACGTGCAAGAAGAACGCATGCGATAGTATTGACACTTCGGCCGACGTGTTTGCCGTCTTCACCCCCAATGGAAATAGCCTAAAACGTCTTTAAGAATAATCTCCCATCCGATAGCAATGACAACTTGAAACACAAGCATCCAGATGATAATCCACTCAAGCTTGGATCCTTGATGTTGTGTCAATTGTTGGTTCAAAACACCCACCCTACGAAAAGCAAGAACAAAAAAAAAACATTAGCGGGTTACAAGCTGAAAAACGTTTGCGAGACTCACAAGTCGCGGATGATGCTGAGACGCTTGTTCAAGATGGCCACACGGTTGGCCACGTCCTGGTACTTGAGCATTCTCTCGTACAAGTACTTGAAGTCGTCATTATCTTGCGATTTGAGAAAGTATTCCGGTTCATCCAAAATGTTGGAATGGATGTTTACATCGGCAAGCTCGATGAAAAGCTGACCGATGAGCTTTGACATGTCTTCTTGAGAGTACTGAATTGATCCAACTGATGCAAGCCTGGATGGGATGTGCTTTGTCGATCGAATACGATCTTCAACACGAGTCTCAAAGGCACTCAGCGTTGCTGACTGTGACATCGCAAAAGATAGAGCCATTTTTTCCGCCACACTTATCATGCAGAGTATAATGGCATCCCTAGCGATACTGGATCGGTCTCCATAGCTAAATTCCATGACTTGTGCATCGACTTGATCCATCATCCCCGACGAAAACGGAGTCAGCATCATAAGATGCCGAGCCTCTTCTTCTCGTGTCAGCCCCCAGAATACACAGCATCCCGTGCTACAATGTCAACCGAATTCAAAAAATAGCCACCACAAGAGCAAACTGAGCAGAAAATCATTTTAATCATTGAAAATCGTCACAAATTTTAACTTACGCAAAGTAAAAAGCATGTTTTTCTTGAAGAGCTGCTTCTCGTTAAGTTTTAATTTTATCTCCATCATTTGTGTTGATAGTATCAACACATTGTTCCGGTGTAAAACTCGAGTGTAGTACATCAAGATGCAACGTGTTCTTCCACTTTGGAAATTGAACACGTCGTTCTTGATTTTTTTTCATTTTTTTTTCTTCAATTTTTACAATTTTCTCTTTTTTTTTTGTCCATCCAATTAAAAAACTTGAACAATGCAAGTTTTTCACACGTGTAATAAATTGCCACACGTCTCTTGTCAGTGTGGGTGGGTGATAGAGAAGGTTTAAACAGATGAACGCGTGCTACTTCTTCATCATAATCTGGAGCATGAGCACGCCATCGTCTTCCACTTGGTTGACGAGTTACAACTTTTAATGGAATTGTATTATTAATCTGAGCCATTTTTTGCATACTCTCAAGTTAATTCACTGGTAAAAAAAAAACATAACGACGGTACAAAACGCACCATTTGTTCTCTAAATTGCAATCTGAGGTTGGAATCAGAAATTTATATTGTCCGAGGAGACTATTTTAAGTCTCGAGGATTGGAAAAGTCAAGATTTTGTTTTTGAAATTGAGTCCTGCATGATTAGAAAAAAAAACAAATTTAAAAAAAGGGAGTAATTAGTCAAAATTCGCATTTGCTTTGGTTACTTTTTGAATCGTATTTGATTTTTTACCTGGATAATTATTTTTGAGTCTTAAGTAAAGAAAATAAGTTGATAATGTTTGGACGATGGCGTATGGTTCGACCTGGTATGGGAAAAGCGAGGACCCAGTACAATCATGATTTTTTGCTTGTGTATTTTAAAACGGCAATGGTATTGCCTTAAAGAAGTACTTTTAAGTTGAAAGATGGCATCCCATTCTGTAGCTCATTCTTGTTGTAATACTAGGTAGCTGTCTTGACTAGCGGCTGGGATTTTGTTGCTGAAATCACTCACAGTAGCGACTTTGCAAGAGCGTTGGGGCTTATTTTACCACAATTAGCCCTACTTGCTATCATTGGAATTCAATACGTTTCGGTTGTTGATCGACGTATTTGCAGACGTACACATGTATGTACAGAACTGTATTTCGTGTAGGAAGTCCTACATTAGAATTACAATAATATTCATGCTACTTGATTGTATGTCTCGTTACAGATCATGGTAGTGCTGATACTGCTAGTTTTAGTCATTCTCATCGCTGCTGTCTCTTCTGGCTTTCGAATGGGCATCAGTCTTTGTTGCTGCAGCCGTTCTTTCTGGTATGTACTAGGACTACTTTTCATACATGGTAATGAATCTACTTACCCCCCTATTTCGTTGCGTATTGCTAGTCCGACTACATTTTCCACCAAGTTGGAGCCTGATCACACTGCATGCGGACTTGTCGTGATTAACTGGTATAGTCACTTCTTATTACTGTATAAAAGTCCATTAACATACTTGTGACGATGCTTTCACTTGTGTATCTTTTATCGGACCAGTTATATGGCGTTTATTCGCAAGATTGCTCACTTTTACGGCATCTCAAGCTCAGTATCCATCTTGGTAAAGAAAAGCTCATAATTTATACTCAAATGTGTAAAAAACACTTTGCTGACGGTATATTTGCTATTTCTAGGCTGCAATTAGTTTTGATATATTGACCAACACTACTCGCCAACTCTCTGCACGTACGAGTTGCTTGAATTTTCTAGCCAAGACGCGTCTTGAGAAGATGGAATAACAAAGTTTGATAATTTATATTTAAGCGATCTTGTAGTGTTGACACTTTCTGAATATTTTGTATTATACGCTATTAAAAGTCCAAAACTTGATATTGGAATATCCGCAAGGATAATTTGCAAATAATAGGCCAAGTCCACAATTATCATTTCTAATTTTAAACCACCTAAAAAGTCGTTGAAACTGCTTTTAAAACGTCTTTTAAGCGTCCATTTTTTCGTTTATTTTCCGATAGTTCTCGAGATGTCGCTCTTACCTTCTCAAGCTTCTACCGACGTGACTAGAGCGTCTCCATCCAAACCATTACATTATCCATCTACTTCATCGTCTTGTCTATCGATTCATATTGCTACATCGTCTTCTCCACTTACAGAAGACGCATCAGAAAGTTTCAAAAAACCCAACGATTTGTTTGCTTCTTCCTCTAGTTTCGACGACGATTCGGACTATTCGCCGAGTTGCAGCAAGAAAACGCGTACATACAAGAAACAAGAGAAAAAACCACCGAAACGAAGGCGATTACGACGTAAAAACAGCCCGAAATTAAAAAAACCCGTGGTATCAGATGCAGAATCAGAACTGAGAAATGTCAAGTCTCAAGCGCGTACGTCGACTAACAAGAACTTGCAATACGACAGAAAAGCTGCAGCTGCTACATGGGCAGATGATGGAAGTTTGGATCTTTATCGACGTCGATTGCATGAATTACGTCAAGAATTGCACAATTCGGTCATGGAAAATCGAAAAACCTTTTACAATAATCCAAAGCCAATGGAGATGCTGGAAACCCAAGAACCAAGTCGGAAAATTCAAGAAGATGATAAGGAAAAGAACTTTACAACTGGACTTAAGTTTTATTCACCGTGGGACGTGACGGAAACGGCATCAGGACTTTTAGTACCGACATATGTGATGACTCAATTGTTACCACATCAACGAGAATGTCTCGAGTGGCTACATAAACTTCATGAACGAGGAGTTGGTGGTATTTTAGGGGACGATATGGGACTTGGAAAAACAGTGCAGTTAGCATCGTTTTTAGGAGCACTACATCGTGCAAGAAGACTGCAAACAGTTTTGTTGTTATGTCCAGCATCGGTCTTGTTGCAGTGGGTACGAGAGCTGCATAAGTGGACGCCATGGATGCGTGTTGTGCTACTTCATGCATCAGGAACAGGCGTGAATACGTCATTCTCAAGTGAATGCTATGAACAGCTGATTGAAGAGGTATTTCGCTTCGAGGACGAAGTATCGGATGGTGAAGCAGCGGAAAATAGCTATCATGAAATGAAGGAAGATGTTCCTACCAGTGGTGCTGTGATCATCAGCACGTACGAGAATGTTCGACAGTATCAGAGCTTGTTTCTTACACGCGAGTGGGACTATGTTGTACTGGATGAAGGACACCGTATTCGCAACCCGGATGCTGAAACGACACTTGCATGCAAACAGCTGCGCACGATACATCGTATTATCCTCTCGGGTACACCAATTCAGAACCGACTTCGCGAGCTTTGGTCGCTTTTTGACTTTGTTTACCCAGGACGTTTAGGTACTTTGCCAACCTTTGACGACGAGTTTGTGTTGCCTATTCGAGCTGGAGGATATGCAACAGCTACCAAGATGCAGGTGCTGATGGCGTACAAGTGTGCACTCGCCTTGAAGGATCTTATTAAGCCGTTTCTTCTTCGCCGCACAAAGCAAGAGGTTTTGACTAGTGGTGCCAGTGGCGAAATGGGTACATTGCTTCCTGCCAAGCAAGAACAGATAATATTTTGCCGGCTTACGACAAGACAGCGTGCACTATATAAGCGTTTTTTAGCCTCACCTGAAGTCGCGTCAGTGTTACGGCGAGACATTCGACCGTTTCGCGCCATTTCCGTACTGCGGCATATTTGCAACCACCCAGACTTGCTAGCCTCGTTTGGTGATGGAAGACTGGCGGACAAGAAACGGCAAACCTATGAGGAAGACGAAGAAGAAGGCTTGTCAGGCATTGCCGGTCTGTTGGACGAGACCGAAGACGGAAAAGATGTTGAAAGCGATGAATCTTTTGGTGCAGTATCGGCGAGCGGAAAAATGGTTGTTCTACGCAAGGTGCTAACAGTATGGAAAGAGCAGGGTCACCGAGTATTGATATTTACTCAAACACGTGGTATGCTGGACATCTTGGAAAGTTTTGTGGCTAGGGATGGCCATGCATGTACTCGTCTCGATGGAACGACGGGTGTGGCAGAACGACAACAGCGACTTGATGCTTTTAATGCTCCGGACAGCAAACTTTTTGTGTTCTTGCTGACAACTCGTGCTGGTGGTATTGGTGTAAACTTGGTTGGTGCCGACCGTGTTGTCGTGTTTGATCCTGACTGGAATCCGTCAACGGATCTTCAAGCTCGCGAACGCGCTTGGCGTATTGGACAGCTGAAACCCGTGACTGTGTACCGGTTTGTGACTGCTGGAACGATTGAAGAGAAGATCTATCACCGGCAGATTTTCAAGCAGTACCTTAGTAGCAAGGTATTGCACGAGGCCAAGCGGAAACGGTGTTTTAACAAGCACTCGCTGCGAGATTTATTTGTCCTAGAGGACGAGAAAGGAGAAGGAGAGGGAGTCGCAGAGACAAACGAGTTGTTTGTTGCTGGTAACGTAGAGCGACCTGCTGAAGTGGAAGACGGTGAGGAGGAAGAGGAAAAAAGTGTCGAGCAATCCGGTGACGGCAGAAACAACACGGATGGTGGAGACAACGACGTTGTGCTGAAGCAATTGTTTGACGATGGCGATGTGCGCGGTGTGTTTGATCACTCAGCTGTTGAGTCCGATGGTGTGCAGAACCAAGAAGCAGATCTAGTGGAGATGGAGGCGACAAAGATTGCGCAAGGGGCATTGAGTGCACTTCGAGCATCTGGTGCTCTTGTACGACAACAGCGGGAAACTATCTATACACCAACATGGACAGGTCGATCGGGTGTTGCTGGCGATCCATCTCAACGACGTCAGCAGCATTCAGCCATTCGTGGTCGTGATACCCTACGAGGTCGAGGCAGAGGCCGTGGAAAAGTCGAGCGCAATGGAGGAGTTTCGTCTCGTGAAATGCTTGCAAGGATCAAACAAAGACGTGATGGTGTCGCAGCTCAAGTGACTCGATTTTCAGCTCACTCTCGATCTACAGCTTCAGGTGCTTGTCAATCTTTGGAATCAGGTTCCATAAGTGCAAGTGAAATGGCAAAGCGTTTGCACTCTTTTCTGGTTCCCAATGAAGCAAAAGGAGTCACAACCGAACGGCTCTTAGAGCATTTTGGTAACATTGTTGGACCTAAAGACAAGCTCGTTTTTCGACATGTCTTACGTGATATGGCGAAATGTCGGAATCGGCGCTGGACATTAAAACCGTCGTATTCGAACAATTTCGACTCGTAAAATTATTTTAAATAGTTTGTTTTAATATAAAAACGTTGAAACGTTTAATGAAATATCCACCGCATTTTTGCAATGCAAGTTGGATGTATACCGTATACGGTATACACTACATTTCGATACCAATAGAAACGATATTTCGTCTCGTCGTTTCTACTGGATCAATGGCTCATTCTCGGGACGTCACACGTCACAGTCGCTCTCGCTCTCATGGACGTCGTCGCTCCCCTTCTCTCCATCACAATCGACGCAGCAGTCGCAATGTCTCTCACTCGCGAAATCGTCGTAGTCCAAGCATCACTAGAGCCTCCAGGAGGTCCCCTCAACGTCGCATTTCTACTTCTTCTCACGTTTCGAAAAGCATTTCTAACCGTCCTTGTGTTTCTAAATTAGGACTGGATAAATTAGCCGCGGCCAAACGTGAAATTGATTTAAACCAAAAAAACGTGAAATCCTCGTACTTAAGACGTCAAAAAGACGTCAAAGGGTTGAATGCCACTGAGTGGGAAACTTCCGAACAGTTACAAACTGTATCGAAACGTTTGCAACACGATACAAAACAATTAGACGAAACGGTCCGACCACGTGATAAAAATAGTTCAACCAAGAGATTAAGTTCAAGTTTGAGACAAGAGACGAGACATTCCAGCAATCAAACCAATCGGATTGAAACACTGACAAAACGTGTACCTTATTCTCCTAGTCGATTGAGTTCTCGACGGAGAGAGAAAGTGGAAGGTCCAAAGAAAGAATACGAGGATAACGTGGAGGAAGAATTTGATCGGGAATTCTACTTGAATGATGATGCAGGAGGCATTGAAATGCATGAAGGACATGTGTTTCTTGGTAATAAAGAGAAATTTAAAGCATTGGAAGAACAATTGGAGCAGACAAGAGCTAGAGGTGAGAATAAATTAAAAGGAATGTCGGCAAGAGCATCAGCGCTCTCGGCGGACCAAGACGCGTGGGAAACAAACAGATTGTTAACAAGTGGCGTCGTGGCATCGGGACGAGTGGCCACGGATTTTGACGAAGAATTGGACTCGAGAGTGCAGATCATGGTGCACAGTACGAAGCCGCCGTTTTTGGATGGACGAGTGGCGTTTACAACACAGGTAGAGATGGTAGCAACAGTGAAAGATCCGACGTCTGATATGGCCGTTTGTGCGAGGAAAGGCAGTGAACTGTTACGGGAAGTGCGGGAACAGCGTGAAAGGAATAAGATGCGGAAACGATTTTGGGAAATTGGCGGGTCGCGAATGGGCGACGCTATTGGTGTGAAGGCAGACGTTGGGTCTGATGAAGAGGAAGACGCAAAGCAGGAAGAAGAGAGTGGAGAGAATTATAAACATGACTCGCAGTTTTCGACGCATTTAAAGAAACAAAAAGCTGTAAGCATTTTTGCCAAGACCCGAACACTCCGTCAGCAGCGTGAATTCCTGCCAATTTTCCAGTGTCGTGAAGAAGTGCTGCAAGTGATTCGAGAGAACCAGATTGTGGTAATTGTTGGCGAGACCGGTTCGGGAAAGACCACGCAGCTCACGCAATATTTGCATGAAGAAGGATATTCGCAGTTTGGTACTATCGGTTGTACGCAACCGCGTCGTGTGGCAGCCATGTCAGTGGCTCAGCGTGTTAGCGAGGAAATGGACGTAACGCTTGGCGAAGAAGTGGGGTATGCTATTCGATTCGAGGATCTTACATCTGACAGGACAATTATTAAGTATATGACAGAAGGCGTACTCTTGCGCGAGTCGCTGCGTGAAGCTGATCTGGATTCGTACTCTTGTGTGATTATGGACGAGGCCCATGAGCGTGCTCTTAACACAGACGTACTCTTTGGTATTCTTCGCAAGGTGGTCCAGCGTCGCAGCGACTTCAAGCTTGTTGTGACGTCGGCGACATTAGATGCGGACAAGTTTGCGAGGTTCTTTGGTGGAGTGCCTATGTTCACCATTCCTGGGCGGACATTCCATGTGGATACCCGTTACGCTAAATCTCCCAGTGAGGATTTCGTAGACGCGGCGGTGAAGCAAGTCATGCAGATTCACCTGTCTCACCCGCCTGGTGATGTCCTAGTGTTCATGACAGGCCAAGAAGACATCGAGGCAACGTGCTACGTGCTGGCAGATCGGATGGGTAAGCTGGATGGTGCGCCACCACTGATGGTTCTCCCTATGTATTCACAATTGCCGGCAGACATGCAAGCAAAGATCTTCGATGCCTCGGATGTTCGAAAATGCATTGTGTCTACCAATATTGCAGAAACGTCACTTACGGTGGACGGTATCAAGTACGTTATCGATGCAGGATTCTGCAAGGTTAAAGTCTACAATCCCAAGATTGGTATGGATGCGCTGCAGGTAACTCCCATCAGTCAGCAAAATGCCAATCAGCGTGCTGGTCGTGCTGGTCGAACAGGCCCCGGTGTAGCTTACCGTTTGTACACAGAGCGGCAGTATGTCAATGAGCTGCTCGAAGCACAGATTCCAGAAATTCAGCGAACAAATCTGGGTTATGTGGTGTTGCTGCTTAAATCGCTCGGGGTCTCCAACTTGCTCGAGTTTGATTTCATGGACCCGCCACCACAGGACAATATCATTAACTCGATGTATCAATTGTGGGTGCTTGGAGCACTTGACAACACGGGTGAGCTGACGGAAATGGGTAAGAAAATGGTTGTGTTTCCGTTGGACCCTCCTCTGGCTAAGATGCTATTATTCAGCGAGCAGCTAGGTTGCTCGACCGAGGTACTCGTGGTGGTGAGTATGCTATCAGTCCCGAGTGTGTTTTTTCGTCCCAAGGATCGTGAGGAGGAGAGCGACGCCGCCCGAGAAAAGTTTTTCGTGCCGGAGAGTGATCACCTTACGTTATTGAATGTTTATCAGCAGTGGGAAGCGAACCGCCGTTCGGCTCAATGGTGTTCCGATCATTTTATTCATGCAAAGGGCTTGCGCAAGGCTCGCGAGGTGCACGAACAACTAGCCGATATCATGAAGCAACAGCACGTGCGACTTTGTTCGTGTGAGGGGCGCTGGGATGTTGTACGCAAGGCGATCTGCTCAGCGTATTTCTACAACTCTGCTCAAATTAAGGGCATTGGCGAATATGTAAACATGCTGACGGGTATGCCATGCAATTTGCACCCAAGCGCTGCGCTATTTGGTCTTGGCTACACACCAGACTTTGTAGTTTACCATGAACTCATTTACACGAGTAAAGAGTACATGCAGTGTGCAACAGCCGTGGAAGGTGAGTGGCTAGCAGAGCTAGGCCCCATGTTTTTCAGTGTAAAGAAGTCGTTCCAGTCACGTTTACTCAAGCGCATGAAGGAAAAGGAAGAAGCCATTGAGATGGAAAATGAAATGGAAGTTTCACAACAGTTGAAAAAGTTGAAACGTCACGATGATATGGAGAAGAAAGAAGCTGTAACAAGTCGTCGAGAGCACAAGAAACAACGCATGGCAGTGGTGGAAATCGGTCAAGCAGATGTTGCGAGCACGAAAACAACAGCAAGACGTCCTCGTCGTTATGGGTTTTAGAACTGCTCAATAAGGGACCACCTATTTTTTAGAGTGCCTTAAGGACAAAAAGGGTCGTATCCAGTCCTATCTGTCCTCAAACGTTGTTTCAATTTGTGTCTGATCTACTCGAGTTTGCCCAAAATGTCTTCATCACGGAACAAATAGAGTTCCTCGTCGCCCAATTTGACCGAGCTGCCACCGTATTCAGGCAATAAGACCTTGTCACCTACAGCACTTTGAGCTGGAATAAGAGAACCATCAGAAGAACGGGCACCAGGTCCAACAGCCACGACTTGACCTTCATTTTGTTGCTTGGATTCAGCATCAGGCAAGTAAATGCCACTTGCCGTCTTGGCGACAGCCTCGAAACGTTTGACCAGGACGCGGTTACCAAAGGGGATCAGTTTACGGAGGGAGCTCTACACATAAATGAAACATAATAAATAAACAGGTCTTAGCAATGGAATTCCAATACAAAGAGAGAGAGAGAGGAAAAGACGGACAACAACAACAACAACAAACCATTGTGTGGAATGCGAGTAAAATGCCAACTGACCGCTACCATTGAAGACGATGTGGTGTTGCAACCTTCGAGCGACCGTGAGAAGGATGTTAGATTTGTAATAAATGACATACTTTTATAGCTTGTTTTGTAAATTAAGAACCATCAACACTTTTTCTCGATTGTTCTAGAAAGCATCAGCTTTTCAATTGTGTAGTAAAAACAAAGAGCATACAGAAACTCTATAATAAGTACATTTAAATATAATAGGGCACTACGCCCTACATGAGCTGCGCGAGTTTAAGAAACAACCAGGTCATACATATACAATCTTCACTCTTGCACTCCGCCATTTAGAGTTCATATTCTAATAATGCACCATTCGAACACAGCATGCAACACAATATAAGATTTTACAATACAAGATTTTGTTAAGCAGATTAGAGTAATCAATGCAGCCTCAGAGGCACGCAGAACGGCAAAGTGCTGCTGGTTTAATGCATGCATTCTACATGCGTTATAGACGTTGCATCAAGTAACAATCAGGATTATCCTGTCGAAGCATATAACTTCTCCCAGTGACGTTAAGTCCCCCTATCAATAAGCTGAGGCCACAGCTGAAAAGGCCAGAAGCCGATTGTTTAAATATCTAAATGACTCACTAGAGCAGAAGTGACAGCGGGAGCTTAGAAAAGAGTCGGAGTAGATAGCCATTGGCATCCTACACTGTTTAGGATGCACGGTCGGCTAGCAGTATTGAACGTTTATATATATACAAGCCATGGACAGCCGTCGTTCAGTAGGTTCAAGTACAACTACTTGCGCTTCATACTGATTGTAACAGGGTATCTAGTTACTGTACACGTTAACATTAAGCAATATACCTAATGTAAGGTCTAAGTATCTATGATTACTTTTAACCTGTCACTTGGGTGCGATACACAAATGTGCTCCACCCTCGTGAATGTGATATCCATTGATGGATTCACATGGGTAAGGATGACGCTAGTTGAAGCTACGCATCGCGACGTCCCAGAAGGACGTCATTAGCGAGCTTAGGAAGCTCACACGTCAGGATATGCTTCTAAAGAGTCGCGTATTCGATCGTTATATAATCAGCCAAGCAGTAGTTAAGTTTTGTAATCAATAATAATTCATTTGATATAACTCAGTCTTGAATTTACTACACACTGTCTACTGCGCACGAGAAGCTGAATAAGCTTTTGCGTGACGTAAGTAGGACACTTTTAGTCGCTTGTGCGCTCTCGCTTAAGCGAGAGGCAACTGGTAGAACGACTGCGTAAGCAGCCGACCACTCGTACATCCACCCTCGCACGCGAAGATAAGACGGTATAACCGCTTCCTCGCTTGTGCTGAAGGTATGCGCTAAGTAGTACGAGGCAACTTCGTAGAAGTGCCTGTCTACAGTGATCATCAACAAATTACCTTTCATGTTGCGATCATTGGACCGAGGAGGCATCAGAGGAAACAAAAAACCTGTCACGGGGTTACACGACGGTTAAAGACCTGTCCCCAACATTACATCACGGTTAAATAACCATGAATCTTGCATAAATATGTATTCTTGACACTTCCCCTCAAGGAGCCAAAGCAACCTAAACTTAAACTAATTATTATAATAATCATTAAAATTTGCAGACCTGCTTAAACGGCCCACTGCCTTATGCCACTTATGTGATTATGTACTATTCCTATACCTACTTATGTAATAGGTTGCCCCATTACATCACCCCCTCTCTCTTGAAGTTGTGCTTAATTCAACGTAAACACATAGCATCTAACCACTCTTTTCGACAAATCATTAACAGCATATTCTCGAACCTGCTCAGTAACGCATACAACTGAGCAGCATGGACCCTGACCTCGTGCGCAAGGATACATCTGCCAGCAACAACCGTACGATCTGGAGGGAACAGGAATATGCGAGTCACGGGTAAGGACGTGACACAGTAGACGATTTTTTTTTCGCTTATTGCAGCTGATCATTCGATAGTTCCTCAAGCCATAAAGAAGCTCTTTATCCGCTGTCGTTTAGGTGGTGCAGTGATTTTCTAATGGCATCTTGATCGTGATGACGCGATTTTGATCCCCAAGTGCGTCAAATTCGACTCGCTATGGTCATGAATGCAGGCGCGATGGACTGCAATATTATTCAAGTTTTCCCGGGCCTCGTAACAGGTCTCGGAGCCGCTCGGAGGATCGTCGTAACTCCGTTGCTCGCGAGCGTTATGGGTCGCGAGATCGGGGGTGGAATCGGCAGCGTCGGTCCCGATCGCCGTCTTTCTACGTATTTCGTAGTCCTCGACCACGTCTGGACCATCCTTCAATAGCAGACTAGTAAATACGTAGCGCCTGATGCTATCGCGTGTTATTTTCGTCAACTTCGCGAGTGAAATCTCACTAGAGTGTCTGAGATGATTGATGGTTCTAGCGTCTACCGGTGTGTCGTACTTAGTACTTCAATATCGGTACCTTACTATAACCAGTAAGATACAGTATCATCAATATCACCTATAATGGAATACATAATACCTCTTGAAAGAGAGAGTATCAAGCTTACATCTTATGAATTTTGACCGATTTCCAACCGTCGTGTAATCCCATCACACTTTCCCCCGCCAGACTGATGTTACCTCATAAAGTCAATCGACACATTTCCTCAACGAGGTTGTGAGCTGTACGAACGTGAAACCTATCGGTTGCTCATAGTACACGCACACATGATACCCCATGGACATGAGTCGTAGACTCTACGTGATATCCTTGAAGGAAGTCTCAAGTACGTGGTGGATTAAGGAAAGAAACCAACATCCGGAGAGATTATAAATCTAAACCCAGTCCTAAGCGTGAAGACGAATCTCGACGCGCACCAAATTCGTCCCCTGAACGAGGTGCTGCAGACACGCTCACTGCGTTGCGTTATACACCAGATGCAACGCCAACCCCAATTGAGTACACATCCGCTCAATGAGTAGCAGCAACAAATTATTACACAGGAAGAGGGTGCTAAGCACCGATCGAGTTGTATGGATTTACTCCAAGCTAATCGAGGTTATACCTTTTAAGCAACCATCTGTGTAGACGCGTCTCAGAGAGACAACTGGTCAAACGCTAGCGTTTAGATCATAAGCCGTGAGGCTACCTCACCGGAAGCAATCGTAAAGCGGACGGCGTTACGCACAAAGTATCTGAAGCCAGGTTAAATGTCGCAAAGCCAATATAAGGCACGGCTGGCCAAGCAAGCACGAGGTGTATCATTCCAGCCGTTAGAGGCGTACCCATCCTTCTTGCCGAAGTAGTGAAGAACACAATGCTCATCGAGCAGCGCTGGCGGAGGCCGGTATATCGGCGACAGCTCACGCTAATTTGTTTACGAAGTAAAGTGCCTTTTTTAGACACTAATCGCGGTGAAGAAACGTTTACGATGGAGCAGAAGCAACCTTGGTTGGAGGGACAGCTAGACGTCCTGATTCGAATGTTACAGCCTACGGCAGAGCCAGCTTTCTCGGCGTAAGCGTCTCCACATTTACGTGGATTGGATCACGATATGGCATGGGCATGCCAACGTAGAACACAGGGTGTGCGCGCAATTGTTTCGGCAGATTTGAATATATACGCTAGGCCCGTCTTGGCCACGTACACAAAGGATCTGATAAAGTGTGGGCGCAACTCGTCTTAAAGACAGCAGATGCTACAATTGTAGGTAGATTTTTAGCATTTAGAAAGGCTTGGTCATCAACCTCATAGCTTTCAATACAAGTTGTGCCTTTAGCATCCGCTTGTTTGCTCTGTTTGACTTGTCGATTAGCCATTGCATCGCGCACATATCTTAAGACATTCAAACGTGTCATAAGCAACGCGTTAACTGATACTAAAGTCTGACATCAGCAAGCCGATCGGCAACATCTCCCCCACCAAGCCCTGAACCACTCGGTGGTAGCTTTTACGAAATGCGTGAGGCCATTCACATAGAACGAAGTATAGCAGGTTGAGCCGTGTACAGCACTGTTAAGTGCAAACTCAGCAACAGGGAGCATAGAGCTCCAATGCTTTGAGGTTTCAGCCTAAATGCTGAGGAGGATATCTTCAACAACGCGATTTATGCGTTCGGTTTGACCAACGATCTGCATAGTACCGCTGTAGACACACCCAATCGTTTGCTTAGCCCCTGGAAGATGGACTTCCAAAATTTACTTGTAAAACGAGAATCACGGTCAGAAAAAATTGCCACAGGCAAGCCATGTTAGCGAAACACACGATCAATAAATAGCTACGCTTCACTATCGATCGGGTATGGCACAGCCGCTAAATGATACATCTTGCTCAAACGGTCAACCAAGACCACAATACCCGTATTGCCATGCGAATCTGTCGGTAGGCCAAACACATTTTATACTAATGGACTCCCAACACCCACGTGAAATTCAAAAATTAGGTAAAGGCGCTGCCGAATGGGGTAAGGGTTTCACCTGTTGACACGTTTCACACGTACGCACATATGTGCTCACTAATTTATACAGTTTAATCCACTAATAACATTGGCATACTGAAACATAGCTCTTATTACGACCCAAATGACCACCAATGGCGGTGTCATGTACCTCATAGAGAATACGATACTTCAGGTCCTCGTCATGAGGTACCACAATGCGCGGTGGATCCGTAGCGTCCGTACAATAGTACAGCAGCCCCTAATTCGATGAAAGCTCGCACGTAATCGTGCCGACAGTTTAATGTCCGAGTTTTAAAGTCTTTACTGTCAAGGGCACGTAGCAGAGCTACGCAGTGCTTAGATTTAGCGTTACCGGCACGAATGAGATCGTTGATCAGCAAAGACAGCGTCGTGAAATATTAAAGCTAATAGTCAGGTATACGTGGCAACACATCAGCCAAAGCGTTTTGCTTTCTCGGCTTATACTTCGCCTCAAAGTTATATTTAGCAAAGAATGAAAGACATCTGGCCTTTCTTTGCGAGAGATGAGGCGACTGAGTAGCAGTGCGTTGATACGCATGATCGTTATAGATCACAAATGGCTCCGAGCCCAGCAGATGAACTCTGAATTTGACTCATGCATACTTCATTGCAAGTTAATCGCTTTCGTGAACTGGATAGTTCTTCTCTGCAGCTTTCAGATGGCGAGATTCAAAAGCGATCACACGCTCATGACCTTTATCATCTGTTTGTAACAGAGCACTGTCAATTTCAAAATCCGAAGCGTCACAGACGACGCTAAACGGTCGGTAAGGGCCTGGAAATGCCAAAATGGGAGCATGAAGAAGGCTAGTCTTCACCGCTTGAAAAGCGTCCTCGTGTTCGGTATGTCAACACCATTCTACATCCTTTTTAAGAAGATTGGATAATGGCCGAGCCATATCAGCGTAATTCTCGCTGTGCTTGTGTAAGTAATTGGCAAGGTCAAGCCAATTACAAAGAAGGACTTACGAAAGTCCTTCTGAAACTCCGGACAAACGGGCCAATCGCCTATGGCTTTGACCTTAGCGGAATCCGCTCTGAGGCCTCATTTTTCAATGAAGCACCCTAAAAAGAGAATCTATGCGGCACCAAAGATGCACTTAGATGCATTAGCATATAGCTTATGAGTGCGCATGCACTCGAGCACAGCTCGTAAATGAACAATATGGTTCTTATATCTGACCGCCCATGTTCAGCACGGCTATGGACAAAAAATGTCATCAAAGTACGTCTGTGCATAATTTCGATGGGGTCGAAACAATTGCGTCACCAAACAGTTAAGCGTAGCCGAAGCATTCGATCGCCCATGGGGCATGAATAACCACTCCCAGAGAATACCGCTCGTAGTACTAACAGCAGTAAGCGGAATATCACTAGCTTGCATGAGCAATTGGTAATAACCATCGACTAAGTCGAGCGCACTGTACATAGTACAACCGACCATATTGTTCTGAAGAACATCCTTTCTAGGTATTGGCGTCTGTGCAGGTATAGTGGCTGCATTGAGCTTATTATAAGCATAAACGATACGCCATTTACCATTTGGTTTCTTAACACAGAAAGTGGGTGTCGAGTGTGGAGATTTGCTCTCGCGCACCATGCCCGCCGCGTGCTTTGCACGAAAGAACTCGTCAATGACGTCACACTGTTCTTTGGGTAAAGTCCACTGCCGTGTTACGCAATATTTGGTTCAAGAAGCCAAGCCAACTTCATGACGTACACCTCTATCCGAAGGTAAAACAGACGGTGGATCATGGCACACCACGTCCTGGAATGACTTAACTAAAGTATAGTAGGGATCTGAAGGGCCCTTCAGAATAGATACCCCGCTACGTGCACTAAGTGCCGCCTTTTTATCTTCAAGGACTGTCTTATCGACAAGCGAGGATTAGTTCAGCTAGGTTAGGTCGAATGACCACCATATCACATAGATCACCAGCCTTCAAGGCTTGATGAAATTCATCCACAGACATTTTGTCTATCTTTAAGAGAGCGATTAATGATGGGAGGGGCCTCAAGGTCAACCTCATCACTGTCACTCCATTGACCAGGGTATACAACTGTTCACTGACATCACTCCGTGATAAAACAGACGCCTTGCGTCTCGCAGCCTCCATCTGGAGACGCTGCCGTATCATTGACGAGACAGTACCTTTGAAGTACTTGGGATACCATTATTTCCAAAGTCAATAGATTCCTTGACCTTAACCTGCTTTATAAGAGAGCTAATGTCAGCACCAACATTTATTAAGTCATCGTCACATGTAATATCACTAACTAGTTCATCGACCTTTACTTGCCTTATGCGAGATCCGATGTCATTATCGACATCTAGTGACTCAATATTACTATAAGTCTCACTTTACGGAATACGTGCCGTTCCACTAGGTGTCACTGAGCTATGCTCGAAAGTATTGTCTTTTACGTTAGAATTTATAAACTCAGACACTCCAATGTCCAGCACACTAACTGACTTAGTTAATGGCTCGCGCCAAAAACGCTTCTGTTTCCTATCGAAAGTGGGTTCATGACTCTCCGAAGCTTCGCTAGGAACATTGCGCGTGGCGCCTAAGGTTTCGGATCTCAAATCGATCCATGTCTCATGGCGTTCCAGCCAGGCCATACCGAGAATGAGATCACTTTTCGAGTCCAAATCTAGGACAAGACAGCGTTTAACGCTATTAAAGTCTAAAAGCTTCACACCTAAGTTCAACGGAACTTTAGGAATGGTGACACGTACACCGGTCGCGAGACGTACGGTTATACTGTCACCCTCTTGCGCTTCTAGCGCCTCAGCATACAGCTAACTCCCCTCAAGGGAACGACGTCGGACATAATTACCTAACGCCCCTGAGTCAATTAAAATTGACCATGGTTTCTCAAAAACCTTAACGGTTGCCGACACAACCAACAAGCCTGGCTTGTATTCATGCTCCACAAAAACTTCCACAGAAACATCTGGGGCTAAGCCTTGTTTACCTCTACCTCCCAAAGTTTCAACAGAGCTTAATTCTTCCCCAGTAGGGTCCCCGCGTCTACAAAAAGTATTCGTTTTCCCAGCTATGCCAGCCTTTCGGCTTGGGACAGGGTTATGACTGTACTAATTATGACGTTGCTTTTGCAGCGGAAAACTGCCTCGTGCTTCCGCAGATGTAACATTTAAGGATGCTACATCTTCTGCTCTGCAGCTTGGAGCTCAGCTTCTTCACTCTCAACATAACGAAAGTTCATGAGATCAGCCCTTTCAAGCGAGCTTGAGGAATACCCATGGGCACCAAAGCGAGCAACTTTAAAGCTGAATTCGGCATTTAATGCCACACCGACCGTATCTTCGAAGGTCGACAGATTAAACTCGGAAGACTCCTGTTCTAGCAGCATAGTGCATAGTCACTTCCATAGAAATGGTCACCCGAACCTCTTTTGTTAGAGGGTCCATATGCATAGCAGCAAGGAGAGTTTTATGCTCTTGGAAATAGTCCAATAATAACTCCTCCTTCCTTTGCCGGGAAGCTAAGAAGCGTGACCGCACGCGATAGGCCTGATTGGACGGTGCGAACACACAGACATCAGATACTTTAGCGAATTCCATGTGCATAATGCGACGTCTACAGATGAATCGCATGTTAGTGCCCATCCCCAGGCTCTGCCACCAAGTTTAGAAATGGCCATGTCGACGCGTTGCTGCTCAGATCTGAGCATTGGCGGCGCTCATTGCCATATTAACTTCTCGGATACAGATAAGGGGGTTTCCTCTCTTTCCCCTCGAAGGTCTTAGCGCTTAACACAAGCGGACGAGCCTTTTGATCTTTAGCGACCAACTGAATGTAGCGCGTCAGCATAGCCGATGCTACATGTGTTCGATAAAGGTTGCCTCGTAACTCATAAAAGCCTGAAGGCGTGCAGTATGCACTTCCGAGCCTTGGGCCATAATATGATCAATCTGATCAGCTCCATTTAGCGCTGACAATTTATTAAGTGCGTAGTTGTTGCGTCTCAGAGAGGTGATTACGACTCTACATCCTCACAGAGGATCAGTCTTAAAGACTCAGGTGTATGATTGGCCTCAAGCGCTACCAAGTGCAGCGGGGATTCGTAGCTCATTATATCAGAGGAAGACTTAAAGGCTAAACTTATCTTAATTTTATAGAGCTCATAAAACAGACTACGGCTTCAAGTCACTATATTTCTAAGGAACTAATGTAGCGAATAAGAAATCTACCCTTTCTTCAGAACTGGGAGATACTTCTACAGTCAACGAGCTTTCGCTTAACAAGCTTACGGCTCTGGGAACCAAACGCGCGAAGTGCACAAGAGAACAAGCCTTACAAAAGCTTTGACTTTATAACTTAGAATGAGGACTGGTTATATCTATGCATTGAGATGAAAGGATAAACCTACCCTAAGTACCCAACACTAGAATACACACTATAATAGTAACCATAATAGTAATTTAATATGCAGACTTCTTTATACGTCATCCCATAACATACATCAGTGTATGTTGTACTCCTTATCAGTTATCGAATCGATACCGATTATATATAGTATTACCGAATGCCCGTCCACACTTGCTGTAATACTCCTCATAAGGAATAGTATCAAGAATGTAATATACGCGTTATTCATGATGTTTATATGTACTTTCGATATAATTGTATTACTGTCGTGTAACCACCGTTACAAAATGATTGCAAATACTTTTTTTAAATTAAAAACAAAGGCGAAAAAAATGAGATTTTATCCATATATTTCTATAAAATCCATCAATTCTTCACAACTGTAAAGTGGTGTATACAGTACATCAAAACGTCCCATTTAAGGGACCAATGGCTTCTTCCCAATTAGCAGACAGCGCACCGCTGGAGATGGCGGTGCTCAAGGCGCTTGGCTCATTATACCAGCCCCATTTGACCAATTTACACGAGATGCAGGCGTCCGACGCGTTTCTACGCGGTTTCCAGCTCACACCCGCGGCCTTTAACGTCTGCGCATCGCTGCTGGACCAATTCGTACTAACTTCTGTCACGGGGACACTTTCTCCGGACAGCGTGCCCGTGGTCTTTTTTTCTGCACAGACATTGGCCAATAAGCTGCGTCGCCAATTTTCTTCTTCAACTTTGGACGCGAATATCTGGACACTGCGAATCGTAACCTGGTTATCCGGCCGCCCAAACTTACCGAAAATGGTGGTTACGCAGCTGTTACTCGCCCTTGTAGCAGCTTTACCACAGCTCCAAACCCAAGATCTTAAGGTTCAATACGCTCAAGACACTGCTGTTCACTATAGTCAAGTGTTCGCGGCCGTCCAGGAGAGTTGCGCCCAGTGCAATGGCCAAAGTGTTGTGGGGTACGCTCTGCTACACTTGGCTCACCATGGCGTAACCTCGACGGTACTGGCGGAATTGCTATTGCTGATGGTAGAGGAAGTAAGCACTTTGATCGAACGCAGTTCTCGACAAAGAATGCAGGACGAGGTGGACGCATGGGCACCCGCGGTACTGGACAACTTGCTGCCGCAAATAATGCACGAGGTCAGTAACCAGGAATCGGGCAGTTTTGCGGATACAGTGGAGACGCAGGAGATGGTGTTGCGCACACTTACCAGCTGGTTACGTTACGTCCGAGTAATCCCTGAAGTGGTGGTGCGTAACCCGCTATTACACTCGTTGACGGGCTTTTTAGCTCGCGATGAATTATTCGATACAGCAGTGGATTTAGCCGTGGAATTGGTGAGGTCATACTCGCACGACAAATTGGTGGTACAATGGCTGACTCCTATGTTATTGTCGCTGAGAGGAGCATTTGAAGCTGCAGTGGAAAAGGAAGACTTGGATTTGTGTTTGGGACTTTGTCGCATTTTCACGGAGATGGGGGAATCGTATTTGGAGCTTTTACAGAAATATGGAGATGGGAACGACACTGCAGCCTTGGTAGACTTACTGCTGGACTGCATGAGTTACCATGACGCCGAAGTGGCTGACTTGACCATCCCCTTTTGGTTTCGGCTGTTGGCAGAGCTGCAACATCATGTCACGTCTGCTCTTCTGGTGCAGTACAACCCAAGACTTGAGAGGCTAGCAGGGCTGTGCATGAAAAAACTGCAGTTCCGAGAAGACTTCCCGAGTCTGCCTGCCGACAAGCAGCAGGACTTTAAGGCATTCCGACTGGAGCTTGGTGACATTCTGCGTGATTGCTGTCAGCTGCTTGGTGTTGAGGCTATTCTTCAGCATTGCGTGAATGGACTGAACCAGGTCTTCCAGACAGCTGCTGAATCGAAAAGTTGGGAGGCGGTGGAGGCTCATTTGTATTGCTTTCGGTCTATTGCGCGCGAGGTTGAAAAAAGCAAAACGAATGGCGTGGCTCTGGACGCACCGATTACGTTAATTTTCCAACATCTTCAGTCATTCGCTGACCACCCGGCAATATGCTACACGTCGTGTCTGATAGTGTCGCGTTATGCGAAATGGTTACGCTTGCACCCTACGTTACTCTCGACTCAGGTGGGATTCCTTAACACTTGCGTGACAAAAAGCGCGGGGGACCTGCGTTTCGCAGAATGGGAAGTGGCGCGAGCTGCTGCTGCAGCCGTTCGTGCTCTCGCTATGGACTGCTGGGTGATACTTGGAGGAGATGTCGTTGCATTCTACCTGCACATTGAGCAGCATGAAGTCATGGCTGTTGAGGACCAGGTGCTAATTCTTGAGGGCATTTGCGCTGGTGTGGCGGGCTCTGGGGATATGCCACGCATCTTTTCCGTCTTAGATCAGGTTATGAAGGGTATTGGCCAGCGACTATCTACCCTGTGTGCCTCAAAATCAGCCAAAGATCACGTACAGGTTGCTCTCAACGAGCTACTGCGACTCATGTGTCTTTACGAGTACCTTGATATCAAGAAGCTCCATGGGGGAAAGCATCCGCTGGTGACACTCACGGAGCAGTTGTGGCCGCTCTTCAATCAGATGCTCGCTTTGTATCGTGGTCATGATGAGCTAGTGGAGCGTGTATGCCGTTGTTACAAGCGTATTCTTCGCACGTGTGGCGAGCAGGTTGCGCCGTTGCTGCCACAGCTTGTTGACAACTTGCTGGCGTTTTACCAAGCCGAGCCCAAATCTTCATACCTATACACTGCAAGTATGGTGTTGAAGTTCTTCTCCCAAGACGACAACCGCAGCAATTCAGCGGAGATGAACACACTGTTCGCGCGAATGCTTTTCACGTTGATTGAGATGACGACCCCCATTTTTGCAAATGTGAACGACATGGAATCGCGTCCAGATGTAGTGGAAGAGTTCTTCTATCTCATGGAGCGTGCCGTGCGATGTGTACCGCAAGTACTCGCTGCTCCTGTTCCTGCTTCTTCGAGTATTTGTTTACAAACGCGACCACTAATGGTGAACTTGTTTTCATGCGCGGTGTCAGCGCTGGATATTTCGCACAATGACGCCAATAAGGCGGTGCTATGCTTTTTGGAGAAACTATATATGCAGTCTCAGACTGATCACTCGCGCGTGAAACTTGCGTCATTTTGTGCATCTAATAGTGAAGTGTACGAGAACAGCAACAAGATTTTGGTAAATTACCTACTGCGTGGTGTTGTTCTGGGCGCTATGTCGCCTTCTCGTGTGGACGCCGACTATGGATCAGTGGCAGGAGTGATGGTGCAACTTGCAAAAGTTAATGGTTCGCAGCTTCATCAGTGGATTGCAGAATGGTTTGAGCTAGCCACAGCGGGGACGTTCGCAACCGCAGCAGTTAATTTTCTCACCCCAGACGAGGCGCAGGAGTTTCAGAGTGAACTGTTTAGCGCTTCTAGCGAACGCGAATTCCGGCGTACTGTTCGTCATTTTGGCAAGCTTTGCGCTTCTCGCAATACATCACTCAAGGATTGCGAGCGTCAGTAGGAAGCGATGGAAGTACCAAGTTATCAAGAGTAACACCACGGAATCTTCCTGATCAGGTAAGTCTGTTTCACGCGGACGGCATGGAAGAACGGAGTATTGCGCCGTCGTCTAGGTGGGTATCGGCGGTGGGGTATGAGTGATAGCAGGAATTTCTAGATTGAGACCTGCTGTCAATATGATTAATCCTCTCTATATTCAAGGAACAGGCTGCATTCGCCACTTCTTTCGCCACTCCTGCGATCAATTCGAGTCCTCTGGTGGTTTAAGCGCGCCACTTGGCTTAGGCTGGACGTGTTTTTTATGCAACGTGCAGACACAATGGCGTAGGTGAAGTTGGTCGATATGTGGCTCCTCGTCTTCATACGAAATCGGGCGTCATTAACAGCACGTGAGCCCCAAGTCGCGCCACTCCAACGTAAGATCGAAGGCGTTGCTACTCCTCGGCATTTTCATGCCGCAAGCTTCTTGTCATACTGCAATACAGTATGGACGTTCTTATCCAACCGATCGTCTGGCAGTGGGGCAGAGTATCCGCAGTATGGTAAGGCTTTAATGTGTCGCAGGACGTTGGCCAAAATGCAGAGTGTCCTACTTGTTCTCTGAGGTGCACGTGGTTCAGGATTGCGGAAACCCGCACTCTAGCATGTGTGTCTGCATCTCTGGTCTCATCATCGTTCGCTTCAAAGTCACAGCTACCACTCCTGCGTCGACGTATTCACTATTGCGAAAAGGAAACGTCAGCAGCATCCTCTGTGCTGTACTGCTTACATTGACGACCTGAAGGTCCTCAGCGACAATACCGCTGGCATTTTACGTACCACGGCATTGTCGCTGGGTTGCACACGAAGACATCCGAAGTGTGCGAGCCTGGTCCTGACAATGAACGTTTACGGCTACATCGGTCCGCGCCGCCATCACCCCTATTAGGCCTCACGACAGCTAGCACATACCTGGGAATGGGCGATGGCTTCGATCACGAATGAACACTTGACCATCAGTATATCGGCAAAACATATACTAGTAGTTTAGTAGATACGTGAAGTGACGTTTCCCGACAAAAAGAACATGCGAAACGACCTCGTCAAGTATCCGGTCGGAAAACTTCACACATACTTGGCGAGGCCATTTCAGATTTGTTTTATTCACTCCGTCCGGTAGCAATTGATTCATCCTAAGAACGTCATTCGAATTGGTGCAGTGTGTGCCGAGCATTCTATCAAGACCTGTTGACTTCATCAAGCCAGACCGAAATGTGTTTCTTGTTGCAAATCGAAGCTACACATGGATAAAGAACGATACTTATATTTAATGCGCAATCACACCGACTTACCAATAACAATTACGAACCTTTTCACTTCCTTTGTTTGGCTAATGCGCCTGCGTACAGATTCGATCAACAAACTGCAACCAAAACGAAGCTAATCATTCCGCTACATGACAACAATAAGTGAAACGCAGCATTACCGCGTAGTCGGCTGAAGAAGTAACTTGAATCGCTCAAACACGGCAGTTTTTTTCAGTCTTCCAACGCCAAAAGGTGTGATGAATGCAGCTCTCTCTCACATCACGGTTTCTACACCATCAAATCAGTCAGCTTCAAAATCAACCTTAAATGCCCCAACGTTTTAAAAGCTCCATTAATGTGCTTGCTGGTATTCAGCATCTCCCAGCAACAGCGCCAGCACAAATCGGCTTAGAGTAGTTACCTCAATTGCCTTATTACAGTTGTGTCCTACTGCAGTATTAACCTGTTTTCATAATAAAAAAAGGCACCTTCGCAGTCAGTCTGAAACGTTCAACTCAGCCTCGGCACTCCATTGCTCACCTTATTCAAGTTTCCTCAAGTGGCAACACGTCACTCGCGATAATTTACATTTCACATGCCCCAGTGTCATTGTTAGAAGCGACAGCGTGGGTGCACGCCTCGTTGAGCGCAGGTCCGCCACCGCCAAAGGCGGAAAAGCTGCGTCAACGCCTGCACATTTTCGGACGTAAAGAGACTCTCGACATTTTTGTTTCTTCTGAATCCATCGTTTGATCTGGTTTTGGTACATATAGAAGTCTCAGATAAGCTGACGGTGTTCTTCTTGCCAGCAAAGAAATGTCCACAAAGACACATATATGCATGGAAAGATACAGTAATATCAAGAAAAAGGACATAGCGAGCAAGTAGTGACGCACCATGAGGCTCATGTCCGCGTTCCGCATGATTACAGTGCGGAAACGGAAGAATGATTGTCAGTGCAACATGCGAGTTTTTATGTAATTTTAGCCAATCATGAGTCGGCTTAGGTCGAATGTCGAAATACATATCCGAGACAAGCTTAAAACAGGAATTGGAGATGACGACGCCGGCGAGGATCGAAGGTGCGGTGCCCAAGAAGGTGTACATGCACTACGAAGAGGGTGAGGAAGAACAAAAACTAATGCTCAAGATGACGCTTCCATCTAAATGGGCGGGTCATACCGTGGATTACCTCAAGGAGGTTGGTAGTCGTAGAATGTTCTGGAAAATCGACTAAAAGAGTGAAGACTGACGAAGACTTATATCGATTGCAGTTCTTCGTAGAACATTACAATAATAAGAAACCAGATAACACGTTGGATAGCGCCCAGTTGCATCTCGAGAAGAAAGGCAAGACGCTGTTGTTTGGTGACGAGTTGCTGCACACGGCCGTGCAAAAGTACGACGATCTGTTTCTTAAGGCTGGCGTTTCGACACTTAAGCCCGTACCTGTGACAAGTAAGATGCTAGTAGTAGTACTATTGTACTAGTAAGTTGTATTCTAAAGGCTTTATTTGCTATTCGCCTTAGATAATGCGGTGCCCGCTGTGTCGGACAAGAAATATCTCCAGTGCAAGAATCACGGCTGCCAGCAAAAAATTTTGGACGAGGAGAACAGTGACCAGGCGTGCCGTCACCACATTCTGCCGCCATTATTCCACGATATGAAGAAGGGCTGGCAATGCTGCTCGTCCAAGATGGTCTACGACTGGGACGATTTCGAAAAAATCGAACCGTGTACCGTCGGCCGCCATTCTACTGTGGGACCCAATGAGCAATTCGCAATGTCGCCTACCGTGGCAGCAGCAGAGAATGCTGCAGCGAGCTCTGTGAACGTAGCTACTCCGCAGGCAGCGGCCCCGCTAAAGTCGATTGACGACTACAACCAGAAGAATCCAAACGCGGTAACTGCCGTTTCTGCAGCCAAGGAGAGCCAGACGACGGCACCTCCAAAACGTACCGATGGCAAGGCGAAATGTGTCAACTTTGGCTGTCAGCAGGAGTACGTGGTGGCGGAAAACAATGATACGTCGTGTCGACACCACGCCGGCGCACCCGTTTTCCACGATGCCAGCAAGTACTGGAGTTGCTGCCCAAAGGACGTCAAGTACGATTTTGACTCGTTCCTCAATTTGCCGGGCTGTGTCGTATCCGCCCATACGGATGTCAAGACGGCTTAGACGGACCACGGCACTTGCTAGCGACTGTTGTAGTGGTTCTTTGGGGGCGTTATGGGTAACTGCAAGAGAAGTCTAGTTTTCAACTTAGAAGAGAAATGATGGAAGCACATCCTTCTCCAAAATGGTCATCGAGTTTGAATTCAATGACGGTTGCTGTGATAACTACTGAGGTCTACCTAGATGTCTCCAGCAGCTTGGTAAAAAAATTAGCTCGCTTACGAGCAATTTAAGCTCGGTTCTTGCCATTGAGTACCTTAATGACTCAGCCACCTGAAGTCAAGCAAGTGTTGGACGCTAGCTATTCTGAGGTTACACGCTGATGGATCAGGGAGATGTACAACTTCTTCATGATACCGAAATATTAAGCAAACAATTTCAGAATGAGCTCGTAGATCTCAAGCACAACGTATGAAAACAGCAAAGGAACGATGGCTTACATGAAAATTCATTGAGGCTGCAGGCACCAAGACACATAATATTGCTATCGAGCTGCTGATGATCGTGAAAAAGGTTTTTGAAACAGTGAGGACGCGATTACTTAACGGAGCGAGTGTGTGCATCCTGAATGTAAGATCTAAAGGTCACACTACGAAAAAGGTGATACACGCAAGTTTGGCTCAATAGTACGGTACATACTTTAGCTTTCGTTCATCTATCAGCTGAAAACGGGTTAAGTGAGCTCGGTGCAACGGCATCTAAGGCTCACAGAATTCAGATACAAGGGAGATATTACTTTTTTCATTATCGCGTACAGTTCGTAATGAGACCAAGTGTGTCTTGAGTTTATGAGGTGTGCAGTTCTCAAACTATTTGTGTCTTCGCTGACAAAGATTGCGACTAGGCTGGATTTGGTGTGGATAGCGAAGAAGTGACGATGTAATCTCACAGCTCAAGGATGTCAAATGAATTATGGCGGCGCTTGGGGATAATCATGAGCTTCTCTATGCAGACAGTGTCACTCTTGTCCCTGGCAAAGTGTAGGGTGGTGAAGGCTAGGAGATTCATCTCCACCTCATTAATTGGTGCACTTTATACCTGTTGGCAATTCGTCCTGTTTGTTTTCCAGCACAAAAACAATTGAGAACGAAGAGTAGGGAGAGGACAAGAGTTGGGCACGTAGACACAAAGGACGAGTCTTAAAAGTGTTTTAGAAAAGCAGCTTTGATTAGATTTAATCAAGAGAAATGGTGAATATAAAACTTGTATGCTAAGTAGGTAACGTTTTATCTACTTAAGTGCCAGATCTGTAGACGTATGTTTTCTTTGTATTTGGCGTCATTGAAAGGAGCCTGGACAAGCTCGAAAGGTTATTCCGCGCTTTCGAGCCTTTTCAGTTGAATGCACAGTAAGTAACAGCTCATTTCGTAACAGGCAAACCTGAAGCCTCCCAAGCCTTGTAGATGTTGTTTTTGAAATTGGCGTCGTTGAAGGGAGCCTGGACATGGTTAAAGCTCGAAGGGTCATTCAAAGCTTTCTGAGCCTCCTTGGTCAGCTGATCCCACGCAATAAGGGGTTGGCGCTTTCCTTTGGACGATTTATTGGGATAAAGGATTTTTTTTTTGTTATCGTACACGACCTTGAAATGCCCGCCATCTATGAGCGCATTTTCATCGGGGGGGTTTTGAGATTTGTAACTGTTGATGTTCTTGGCGTTGCCGGGTGAGTACGAAACAGCCAAAAGCTTTTGATGGTTGACGTCGGGATTGTTTAAGAACGTAACGACGTTCACCCAGGTAGTGTTTGTTCCCTTACTCGGAATATAAACCGCATTCATTTGAGCCCAGCGCTTCTTATGCCACATACCACGGGTGTAGGCCTGAGACTTTTCCGACGGGATTTTGCAGTCATCAGCGTCTTTCGGAAGTCCCTTACTGGTCACACCGAATTTGTCTACTGCAGGATACGAGGAACACGGCCCCTCAATTTTAAAATACGGCTGAAACTCGAGAGCAGTGAGCTCAACGCCATCTTGTGCTTCTGGCGTCTTGAACGGCTCTATATCGTCTGCATAGGCTGTCGTTTTGTCGGCCTCCACCATTGCAAGGCAAGCGCTTACGGCAGCAAGAAGTGCAATGATGTTCATAAAGAAAATGGAGTTGTAGTAACTGGGAATTGCGTGGAAAATTGAAAAGTGATCATATACGTGGTGCTAAGAATTCGTTTCGCAACAAATGCTCAGTCTGGGTATAATTTGAGAGAGTTTCTTATAGCTTGGTTTTATTGTGATACCAAATTGATCAGGAGGGGTATCAATTTAAAAAAAGATACTTTTTTCTCAGCAACACCTGTTATAATTTCCTTATTTACAGGTGTTGCTAAAAGGGTATGGTCACCAATCTCAAGATAAGAGCCGGATGTCGGGAGGAGGGACTTGCATTTCGCAAGACCGGCTCGAAAAGGATATTGTATTCACCATCATGATTGTGTATGTTCTCAACCGCTTTCCTCCGAATATTATATAACAAAACTTTCTATTTACTATCCAGGTTGCTTCTCTTTCAATCTATATCAACATTGTAATGCATTCTCAGCTACTAGGTACGGTTTGACCGGTGGTGGCAAGCCTCGTCATGCATGCATGGTCAGATCTGAAAGGAATCTATTGCATGTTCAACTTGCCTTTCCATCGGACCGGCCCTTGTCGATCGCGCACGTATCATAAACATTGGTATTTACAGTACCGATCCCTTAGATTGATTGGCCGTTGTTTAATACACACGTATCGTAAAACATTGGGCTTGGTCTCAACTCACTTCTACCGGTCAATTAGTATTTGTATTGCTTGCGCTTGGTCTGAACGAAGCCTTCTGATTTGATTCTACTTCAATCTATATCAACATTATTATGCATTCTCAGCTACTAGGTACAGTTTGACTGATGGCATGTTTATGTGACAAGCCTCGTCATGCACGCATGGTCAGATCGAAGCCCATCGCATATTCAGCTTGCCTTGGGCGTTGTTGATCGCACACGTATCGTAGACATTACTCTTTGGTCAAGTCTTTCAAGAGCTACTTTATGAGACGTGCGAGATGAAGTAACGTGCGTCCGAGATAGACAAGTTACATAAGCTGGGCAGGGATTTTAGCTTACAGTAGAAACTGTCTAGAATGATACTGCCTAAACTGATAATTTGTCTAAACTGCTAAAAATATTTAGTCTCGTGTTCATCCCATATTGAAACTAATAAACCTCCATAACCTGTTATTTGATATATTTCTGTCGGCCCCAATACTTTTGTAAACGAGTATACCCTAATTTAAAGCACCTTCAAAAACCCAGAGCTAGTGCTATGCAGTGTACGAGTCCCTGGCCAAGAAGTAAGCATGGCTTAAAAATTATAAAATTTAATATCGCGTAACACATTTTCCATACCGATTGGATCGGCGGTAAATCCGCCATCAAAAGTCATACAAACTGTAATTGTAATGGGGCACCCTCCGACTATACTGATGGCAGTACATTTTTTCTACATTCACTAATGACAGTGATAGCAGGTGACTCAAAACCTTTCTACACAAAGAGGCAGATCAAGATTTATTTCTAAACAATACACTTAGTGTAAATGGGCGCTTCGTAAAGAAGCTGCTACGTACTACGCGGGCACACCTTCAAGCATTGCGAGGAAGCGGTTAAACCGTCTGACCTCCGCGTGCGGTGGTGGCTGCGTTGCTCGGTCGCTCAAAGCGCCGAACCAAACTGTATCCGGCCGCTTAAAAGCGGTCCGCGCAACGAACGACTAAGAACTGCCTGTAACAGGGTACCTATTTACACGTAAACATTAGGTAATATACTTAATGTTTGGTCTAAAAGTATCCATGATTACTTTTGACCTGTCACTTGGGTGCGATACACAAATGTGATCCACCCTCGTGAATGTGATATCCATTGATGGATTCACATGAGAAGGGATGACGCTAGTTGAAGCTAGGCATCACGACGTCTCAGAAGGACGTCAGTTGCGATCTTAAATCTAGATTTAAGATCATGCGACAGGATACGCTTCTAAAGAGTCGCGTATCCGATCATATATATATATATATATATATATAGCCAATCAGTAGTTAAATATATATTTAGTTATAATTAATTAAATATATCTCAGTATTGAATTTCCCTAAACAAACACACCACGCACGAGAAGTTGAAAGACTTCTGCGTGACGTCGGTGTTCTAGTGTTAAGAAGTTCGTTGCACTCTCGCTTAAGCGAGATGCAACTGGTGGTACGACTGCTTAAGCAGTCGACCAACCTCCCAACCACCCTCGCACGCGAAGGTAAGACGGTATAACCGCTTCCTCGTATGTGCATAAGGTGTGTGCTCGTAGTACGAGGCAACTTCGTAGAAGTGCCCGTCTACACTTGGTAGCACTAGTAGTCCTTCCCACGACCCGTCTCTCTGAGCGTGCGTGTGGTTGACATGGTCCTTAATATGGACTGGAGTGACTTCCCTCACCTCTCCCAACATCATAGGGAGTTGGCAGAGCATATGGCGCAGGGACTTGGTGAACAAGCCCTGGTCAATCTCTTGCATTGTCCTTCTGAGCAACATGTTGCTCAGTTGGAGCAATTTGAGGCGTTTGTGCTCGGACAGCGTAGAAACGCGTCCGAGGTAAACAGCCAAGCCACCGCTGAGTCCATCAATAAGACTCAGGATGAGCTTAGGCTTGAGCTGGCACGTAATGAGGCGCTCAACAGGACTGTTGAGACGCTTTCTGCCCGGCCTGCTCAACCGAGGCCCATTCGGATGGACCCTCCGAAGTTCGATGGAACTAGCCCTCACACGATTGTTCACTGGCTATTAGCAGTGGAGCAATGTGGAGTGGCGCAGCTCATCGAAGACGACACTAGAATGGTGTCGTATGCCATGTCCAACTTACGTGGCAAAGCGTCAGAGTGGGCATACTCTGCGCTGATGGCAAATGCTGATGCATTTCCATCATGGGCGATCTTTAAGGCAAAGATTCGCGCCATGTATCAGCCGCCTAACAACGAAGTGTTGCTTATGGCGCGCTTCTTTGGAGCACGACAGGCGAAACGCTCTCTGCAAGAGTTTGTGCAGGAGATGCGTTCGCTGTCGGCGTCCATCAATGGGGAACCGATACCAGAGCGTATCAAGGTAGCCACGTTCATGAATGGACTTAGGCATGGCCCATCGCGTCAGGCCCTTTTCAGAAAGGTGCCAGCGACGATGGAAGAGGCAATTGACATTGCCTTAGTTGAGGAGCAATCCTACAACAGCGCCTCGGCGACAGCCTATTACAGGCCGTCTTCCGAGAATTCTGATGCCACTCCTATGGAGTTAGGCAATGCAGATGTGATCTGCTACAAGTGCGGCAAGCGAGGCCATATGATGGCTCGCTGCTATGTCAAGGTAGCTGCTGGTGCTAAGGCAGCCAGCAAAAGGTCTCCCAACCCGAAGGGAGGTGCGAAAAACCAGCGTGCACGACGCACGGGTTCAGCACCTGCCCAAGATGGGTCGGGAAATGCGGGAGCGCAGTAGGGGCGGGATGCCCTACTGTCGCGGACTCTGAAGCTACCCCTAAGTTCAGAGTGATCGAACAAATGGGTAGCATAGTCCCTGAGGTTCCGAAAGGTCGGACCTCAACCCTTTTGGTCTATAGCGCTCGAGTACGAGGCTATGACCAAGTGATGACCCTTCTCGTGGATTCGGGTGCATCACAAAACTTTGTGAAACTCGCGGCTCTGAAAAAGAGTCCGGCGAGTTATGAGTCGCTTTGCCAGGATGGCAAGCGAGAAGAGGCGATCTTTCGTTTAGCGAACGGCGCGCTCGTCAAATCGGAGGGAGTTCAAGTTGAACTCGCCTTCAGCTTTAGTGACTTCTCTTGTAAAGAGAAGCTCACAGTGCTAGGTATGGAGAGTCCGTATGACCTCATCCTAGGCATGCCTTGGTTGGCTAAACACCAACCATGGATAGACTGGCGTACACGCACAGTCGCTAGCTCCACCCAATACACCGGAAAGGATGTGCTCTTGCGAGAGGCTTATGTGAGCTGATGTTGTGTCCAACACAGTCGAGAGCGCTATAACGGTATGTCAATCGGCACCAGGAACTACCCAGCTCGAAAGGAGTGGTGTAGTCGGAAGTGCACTGGCGGAAAGCCAGGTGACACATATTCCTACCCAGGTCGAAGAGACTGGTGTAGTGAATGGGGCGATGACAGGTAGTCATGCGTACAATGGTCCTGCACAGAGCCGAGAGCCTGTGGCAGTTGATGGTGGGCTGACAGGAAGTCAAGCGCCACAAGAACCGGCACAGAGCCAAGAGCCTGGTGCGGTTGGAAGGAGTGCGTTAGCTGAGATAGCAACGACACCTTCTTCCAGGTCAAAGGTCGTGGTGACTCGAAGAACGAGCACCAGACGTATTAAGACGATCAAGGGCACGTCGAAACGAGTGACCCTTGGATCAGTCTCGGTCCAAGAGGACGGACCTACGAACGAGTTGTTCGAGGCCGTCGAAGACAAAATGTCGGAGGCATCCTCAGTTGAGGTGCTCCAACTTGTCTTGGCATCTGCCGAGGAGATAGTAAATCTCTCGGAGATGACGTGGGATCTGTTCCTGTCCGAACTAAAGGAAGGAAAGATCCACGAGATAGTCGCACCAGTTCCAGAAGAGAACATGGTGGACTGTTGCTCTTCATCCACAATGGATGAGAGCGTCTTGGAGACCGACAAAAAGAAACGGTTCGCTGCTCAAGGCTGGTATGCCTTGAAGGACAGCCCGTTCTATGATGTTCTGTGGAAACACCGGATGTGTTTCCAGCAGAAGTGCCGAGCCGCCTACCGGCCGATAGGGGCATCAGGCACGAAATTGACCTGGAGCCTGGCACCAAGTATTGTGTGACCAGGCAATGGCCGTTGCCGAAGGAACAAGTCGATTACATCGATGAGTTCTTCGACAAGCGAGCTAAGGCGGGACATGTACGTGAGAGCAAGTCGCCTCACTGCAGCCCGACCTTCTGTGTGCGTAAAGCAACAGGTGGATGGCGCGTGGTTCACGCTTATAATAAGCTGAAAACGGCCACCATTCCAGCTCAAACGCCGATCCCGCGGAACGATGTTT